GAGGCTGAAAACAAAAAGAAAGCAAAGAGCTCGTGTAGGAAATCATCTTCCAACTTTTGCATCTTCTCCCTCCAGCCCCGATCCTCCTCTGGCAGCTCTGCTCTGCCAACGCGTTGCGTGACAACGCTCGGCCTGGAGATGGAGCAGGCTGGACTCCAAACATCACCCAGGGAAAAAATAAAGCCGGAAATAACCACGTTAGACGATGAGGACGGCGGTGTCTTCAGGCAATGCGAGCAAAGCGTTGTGCTTCGGAGGAGCAGCACAGCCCCGAAGCCCAGCCGGCTCTCCCTGCGCAGCCGCTCCGCGCATCGGGGCCGCGTTCCTCCGCACAAAGCATCGGGAGATTTCTCCAAGGTCCCGGACGCCACTCGGCTTTCTGTAGGGTTTGTCCTTCGCCGCATCCCCTGCCGTATTCCTGCAGCACTCCTGCCCATCTCCAGCCCTGCTGCTCCCTGGTGGGGGGGAGGACACGCGGCTCCCGGTGCCTTCGGACGCAGCACCGCCGCCCCTGGGGGAGACCGATGGTGTCGGTTCATAGGAGCCCCCCCCCCCAGCAGCTCACCCCCGTTTGGTTTGCTGTGGCGCTTGGTTCATTTTCCACACCGTTCAGAATCCCTTTGTGGCAAAGGGGAGAAGAAGAGAAAGAGGAATTTCTGTCTTCTCATTTCCCCCCCTCCCCAAATTGTAACCGATTCTGGGCAGGTGGCCAAAGAGTAATAAAAATCTGTTCTGTTTGGAAACAGCTGAGAAACGTATAAATGACGGCAGCTCGGTGCTGCAGGAGCTGCAAATCAAGCAGGCTGTGCGTTCCAGGGTTCGTTAACATCTGATGGGGATAACGGGAGGTTTATAGCACTTAATTGAATTAAATACACTGCATCCCGATTTGGGGTTATAAAACTTGCAGTCACGGGGCGCAATTAAACACCTTCCTGGTGCTGCCAGTGCGTTTTTCTCTACAAAATAAAGCATGAAAGGTAGGCTTGCTCTGCATCACAGCGTGTCAATCCTTGCAATGAATCCCCACAGCGCTGTGAGATGAGGGCTCTGCAGTTTGCTGCTTGTGTGGGGTGCAGAATGAAGTCTGCATTCGGGGAGCACCTCAGGCAGCCCGCAGCTGCAATGCAAAAGGATGGAGTTTTAAACTGCAGCAGGGGAAAAAGTCTTCATTAGCAGGTTGGAAACGTGTTGAGCCCTCCTGAGAGCTCAGTGAGTGCAAGGAGCAGGAGGGGGAAGTAGTGCCAACCTCAGCCTGAGTGCCCGGAAAGCTCCCATCACCATGCATACATGTGGCACATCAGCACCCATGGGAGAGCTTGGTTACCTCCCCCCCTTGTTTTGCTTTGCAAAATCCCATGGGCAAAAGGGACGTGGTGGGGACTCTTTCCCAGTTTGCCCAGTTTGCCATGGGAAGCACCCAGCTGGCTCACAGCTCCAACAAACCCACAGCTGTGCGGAGCGCGTGACGGCTGAGGGGCGCTTTGGGTGCTGTCCCCTCTCCTCTACATGAAAACATGACCACCCCAGGACAATGCCATGGCAATCCCAGCTGTAAGGAAGCAGAGGGGATGCTGCAGGGAATGCCTGCTGAAATCTGTCCCTGGGACACTTCCACCCCCTGCTGCCCAGCAAATAGCGCAGTGCTCACTATCTATACGCAGCCCACCTTGCCCTGCTGCAGCACTCAGCCCTGATCTGAACAAAAGGTCTGGAAGACATTTGCGGAATGGCACAGTGCTGCTGGGGGCCAAGGGTGCCCTTTTCATTTCCCATCCACGCTGCAAACATACTGAGGCTGCAGGTAGTGCATTTGGATGGCGCCGGGTGGAAGGGGGAGCCCTGCAGCTTCACCATGCTGCACCCCATGGCACACAGCTCTCCAGCTCTTGGGCAAGCTCCATCAGCCATAGAATCATTCCAGGTGGAAAAACTTTCTCAGATTCACAGCCCAGCACACCCCACCGTGCCCATCAGCACATCCCCACAGTTCTGAGCACCACCAGGTGACCCCACCACTCCCAGGGACGAGGGTGACCCCCCCAAGTTTCATCCCACCTGCTGAGCTGCAGCCTCAGAACCAACAGCATCTGCTCCCAGGGGTAGGCAGCAGTAACTCCCACCTCATGCTACTCATTTGTGCTCTGTATTGGGCTGTCCTGGTTACTGCTGGGCAGGTGTTGCCGATCATACAGACGAGGTCATCTCTCAGACCCCAGCTGTAGCAGCTAACTGGGAACACAGAGGCTCCAGGTGTGCTTTGCCTTGCTGATTGGGCTGCCCTCGTGCCCCACGGGTGGTTCTAGGATGGAGCCCACGTGTCAGCAAGACCTGCTCGCTCCAGTCTTGCAGGAGAGCTGTGCTTCAGGAGGTGCTGGAGCAAGAGCAGCATCTCACAGCACCTCTCTGCCTCAAGCTGAAATGAGATACGGAGACGTGCCGTGCACCGAGGCACCAAATATCTCCTTCTGTCCACAGAACGTGTGAGCAGGGCAAAGCAAGGCAGGTCTGTCTGCCCGCAGGGAAGCCCCCCAGCCGTGGTGATGGTGGGGAGCAGTTAGCTGGGATGAGAGGAGCAGCGAATGTCAGGTGGGGAATGACAGCATCAGGCTTCAGCTCCCGCGCCCGGATCTGAGGGTGCCCTGTCAGCGCCGACAGGCGGAGAGAGATGCACAGATAACGTCCTCAGACACAAATGATGATGCCTGGAGAAACTTGTCCAAAATCCCCTGGGAAAGCTGTCGCTCTGGGCTTGTTTGGAGGTCCTTCAATAGGGACTGCAGTGCAATTACTGTTCTCACAGCAGAGCGCGAGGCAAACGAACCCGGTGTGGTTCAGCGCTGGGAAACGGCGTACAAATGAGATGAGCTGTCAAAAATAATGAAAGGAGTGGCAACCGAGAGAGAGAGAGAGAGGCCATCCGACCTGAGCAGAGCTGGGATCAGTGGGACGAGCTGAGGCCCATTGGCTCCTTCAGCCCTGCTCCCATAGGGTCCCCCATACGGGGGCTGCCGGCTCCAGCTCTGCCTTCACACCCCCGCTCCACTCCCGGCTCCTTCCCTCCGCCATTTGCATACCGTGCATATTCATGAGGGATGGAGGTAATTAAAGATTCATGCACGCAGCCCTCGCACTTGCAGTTAATCGGAATGCTGCAGTATTCCTCACATTCCCCCCCCCCCCAAGCAAAGCCAGGAGAGCTGCTATGGGATGCACAGGGTGTGGGTGCCCCTGTGGGTACAGCACACTCAGGGAGGGCTGATCCTACAACAGCTGTGGGGTGCAAGCCAAAGCAAGCTTGGTTACAGCACAATAACGCTGCTCTTGGGGGCGTTTGGGCACTTCCAGCCTCGCTGCAGCTTATAAATACATATTTATTATTAATTTTATTCCGTCCCCAGTGCCAGGGTGCGCAGGATTAATCGCCGCCGCTCCGTGATAAAGGGTCTGGGAGCCAATCTTCAGCTTTGCCCGAGATTTATTCCCCTTTGAAAACAAATATCCTGACAGGGAGAGATTTCCTGGCACAGAGCAGCTCTGTTTAATTAGAGAGGTGATTCATGTTTTCAGTCAGGGTTTAATACCAAGCCCTTTATGGGCAGCAGTGCAGCAGGAGCCTGTAGGTCTGCTGGGCTCTGGAGAAGGAACCTGGGGCTGCTCCAGCCAAAGCAGTGCCCCCCATTGGGGTCCTGTCCCACCAGGAGCAGCCATGGCTCCAACCCCGTGCTTGGCTGCGTCCCTTTGGGTGGTGAACATTGGTGTTGCGTGGCCCACACAGAGGAACAGCCAAGCTGCCCCAGCTCCAAATGCCATCATTGAAAAGCAAAGATTTGGCCACCGTTCTGCTTCAAAATGGGGTAACAAGGTCCACCTGGGGGCAAACACCTGAGGAATAGGGACAGGAGTGTGGAATGGACCCAGTGCTTTGGCATGGGTGCAACAGGTGTGGGATCCCAGCCTTTCACTGACCCCAAACGGAGCATCCCAAGGTGGGGAGCGATGCTGGGGGGCCCAGGGGAGCCCCACACGCTGACCTGCAGCATTCCCAGACATAAGCATCCAGCAGCTCCTGAGTGTCAGCACTGCGTTCTGACCGCCCCATCCTGGGCACCAGTTCAGGAATAACGCAGACGCGGCCAAGGCCCATAAAATTAATTAGCTCTCACTTGAAATTAAGCATCTCAAATGGGTGTTTCATGAAGATTTAATTAAAAGCCGCGCTGGAACCAAGCTGGAGGGGTTGGGGCACAGGGAGCTGTCACGGCGTCCCCAGCTCTGCGTTGTCCCCGTGTGGCACCGGGGGTGTCCCCGGAGAGCCCCGCGGGGGGCTCAGCAATGCATCCAAGCACCTCCCATCCCACGGCCTCCCACCCTCCTCCTTTCTCGGCGACTTCGGGGCGGCCACGTGGGGCACACAGCGTGCAGCGCCACCTCCCAGCCCCACGGCCATGCTGAGCACGGGGGCTTTAAACCCAACAACGGCTCTGCAGCCGCGCGCCGAGACCCGAAGGGCGCCGTTCCGTCCGCACGACGCAGCAGCAAGTTCATCGCCATTACGTCAAACCCACAACCGTCCCCGGCTTCTGTCTCATCCGTAAACTTCTCCGGGGCGCTTTTCCTATTCCCACCGCATCCCAGCGTCGTGCCGAGCAGCTCTGCGCGCTCCCTGCCCGCTCCGCTCCGGGCTGCCGGATGCTCCCCAATCTTTCCGTCCCAGCGAAGCGCCGCGGCGCCGGGGCCCTGCTGCCACCCAGCGGCTGCTGCAGGCACAGGTGTGGCAGTGCGCGCGCGTAGGTGTGGGCGCGCACACGTGCATGCAGCTGGGGGGGGCTGTGAGCGCGCCCGTGTCTGCATCTGTGTGTGTGCGCGCACACGCACTGCGCGTGCACGGGAGCCCGCGAGGGAGCGTGGGCGTGGCTCCTGCGGGTGGGTGTGCAAGAGGTGCACGTGGCTGTGCACGCGCACGCAGGGTGCGCGTGCACGAGGCCATCCCGGCCGCCCACAAGGGCCGTGGCGAATCTCAGCAAAGCCGGCGCTCTGCACGTTGGTTTTGGCACCGACCGGGCGAGCGTTCGGCCCAATTAAACGAGTTTCCGCACTCAATTGAGCGTAATGCGACTTCGTACGTCTTAATAAAGCCCTGATCTCTGCGGTCACTGAACTGAGCGCGTCGGGGGGGGGCGCGGTGAGAGCAGCACACAGCCGGGTGGAGCGGCACCGGCGCTAATTAGAGACGGAATTAGGAGCCACCACCACGGCGGTGCCTTTCTGCCTTCTCGATACATCCAGCTTCCGATAGGAAGGGAAAGGAGCCACCCCCACCGCAGGGGCTTTGCGGGGATGGAGCTGCAGCCGGCAGAACCCAGGGGGGCACGCGCACCTCCTGCTGGCCGTGTGGGTGTTCTCCCAAATGCCACCGCAGTGATGCTCCGGGTACCCACTGCGACTGCCTGAGCTGTGTGTGGCGCGGAGGAGCCCCACGGAGAGCAGAGGATGAGGAGGGGAAGTGCCACCGTGTGTCCCCACCGCCTGCTGTGCTGTGCTGGGGGCCTGGGAGGTGCAGCCCCAATGTGTCCCCACTGTGTCCCCAGCTTTTCTCATGCACCCTGCCCCATGCATCCCCATCCCCATCATGTCCCCTGCATCACCCCATCCCCACTATGACTCACCATGTCCCCTCCTGCTGCCCCATAACATCTCCTCCATCATCCCATCCCCACCATAGAATCATAAAATAGAATGGCTTGGGTTGAAAGGGACCCTAAGGATTATCGAGTTCCAACCCCTTATGCCACAGGCAGGGCCACCAACCTCCTCCAACCACCATGTCCCCATCATGTCCCCTGCACCATGCTCCCCATGTCCCTTCCATCATTCCCATCCCCCCCATGTCCCCTCCATCCTTTCCATCCCCACTGCCTCCACCACGTCCCCTCCTGCACCCCACCCACATCATTTCTCCACCATGTCCCACCCTGCGTCCCCACCATGCCCCTCCATCATTCCATCCCCTCTGTCACTTCCATCACCCCATCTTCCCCACATCCCAACCACAGCCACAGTGTACCACGCCGTGCCCCACATCCTGCCCCTTTGATGCCCCACACCAGCCTTCCTCCGGCACATCCCACACACCCTGTTGGGTTCCTGCAACCCAGGGAAGGGACGTGCTGACATTCCTACAGCAGGCGGGAGGGTGGCACTGTGCACAGGGACACATCACAGGCTGGGAACGAAGGCCAGAAAAAAAAAAAAAAAAAGAAAGCTGATCATTTTGAATCATTTTGAGCTCGGGAAGAGGAGCAACCCCTGCAGGGCGAGTCGCCACCTCCTCTCCATCTCGAAGAAAAGCAATTAGCACGACGGCACAATGCGTTTCTAATTGCAACCACGGACTTGACGAGCAGCCCGTGGCACACCCCAAGGAATCCATCCCCCATCCCGCAGCAGGGCCCCGCCGGGCACTCGGAGGGATTTGTTTGCTGGAGCGTTGCACAGCGCGGAAGGCACGCGCAGCATGCGGCGTGACTCACCGTTATGCAAGTGGCAGCTGTGGGGCTGGCAGCGAGCGGTCGTCCCCAGAGCCACCCGCTGTGGGGCAGCCATGGGGAAACACAGCTTGGGGGTCAGCGCTCTGCGATGGGGGGAGGAGCAAAAAGGGGAGCCGGGGGCCCGTGCAAAGGGCTGAGCGCCGGCGTTGCTGCCCCACACGCTGCCCCACACTGAGCGGCTCAGGGAAGCCCCGTCCCTGTGCACAGTCCGTGTCCCTTGGCACGTGGCTCCAGCTCTTGGGGACACTGGGGTCAGAGCTGTGGTACCCGCACTGATGTCCTGCAGGAGCTGCAAGCACGGGGCTCCCTGATGACAGCAGGGACGTGGCAACAGGGGCTGCCACCTCTGTGTCCGACTGTGCCACACGCGTCCTCGCAGCCCACTGTCCCCTGTCCCTGCAGTGACATCGGGCAGCAGATGCACCGTGCCCGGCGGGTTGGAGAGGGGGCGGCACCGGGAAATGTCACAGCTGTGACAGCACCGGGTATTCTTAGCCTCACATCACAGCCCCGACACGGGGACAGCAGTTGGCACCCTCGGGGACAGGTGGCACATGGTGTCTGGCGGGTGTCAGTGCTGTGCCCTACCCCGCTGTGCCCGCGGGATGGCAGCAGCCTCCATCACCCCCCTCCCACCCCCCCACCAGGCACCCACGGCCACTTGTGGGGCAGCACAAGGCCCCAGAGCAGAGCTGTGTGACAGATGCCCTCGGCAGCCTGATGCCATGGATCCTTGTGGGGTGGAGAGTGCTTCATCCTCACGTGAAACCTCTTCCTCCTCTCCAAAAAGGGAACCAGGAGAGCTGATGGAGTGTTTCTGTCTTCCCCCAGCAGGACCCATTCTGTACCACCCTGCTCCCGGTGCCAGGTGCTGGGCGCTGGGTGCCAGCTGGGTTTTGACCCACGTTCTCTGCCTTTATCTCTGCCCACCACCCCCTGCATGCAGGATTGCCTCTCACTGCCTCCCCCTCCTGCCCACTCCCCGTTCCCTCTCCCAGTACTGAGCATCCCATCCCACACTAACCACAGCCACTTACTGGGACATTTCCCATTGGTTCCTTGCACCTCACAGCTCGCTGCCCTCGCAGATGCTCCTGCCGTGCTCCAAAATCACCTTTCCTCCCTCTGCCCGTTTCCCCTTACCCAACCCTACGGCCCCAGGGTGCTCTGCCCTTCTGGGAGCTTCTCTTTCCCAAAATGTTCTGGGGCTTTGCCCTGAGCTTCGGGGCCGATGTCACGGCCACCCCAGGGGGCACAGAGTGTGACTTTGGGTCCCAGTGAAGCCTTGGGTGCCTATGGGGTAACAGGTGTTCAGTGGGGCACCAACGGGACACCCAGGGGGGTTGATGTCACGGCCATCCCAGGAGGCACAGAGTGGGACCTCGGTGCCAGCGGGGCAGCGGGTGCCTATGGGGCACTGAGTGCCATTAGAGCAGTGAGCACCAATGGGGCAGGGGGTGCTCAGTGGGGCATTGGGTGCCAGCGGAGCACTGGGCGCCAGTAGGGCAGCGGGTGCCCGTTGGAATCGGGTGCCAATGGAGCAATGAGTGCAGCGGGGCGGCGTGGCGGGGCTGGGACCGGCAGCGTGTGCCGCAGGGGCGGTGGGCGCCCGGCGGATGAGGGGGGGGGGTGCCGGTACCCCCGGGGCTGAGCCAGCGGCGGGAGCCATCGGGACTGCGGGCTCGGTGCCAGCCGGCCCCTCGGAGGGAGCTCCGCAGCTCCGGGCGCTGCCATGGGGCGGTGCCGGGCTGCCCGCAGCGGGTGCCGGCGGGGCGGGCTCCCCGGGGTGGGGCGGCGGTGCGGGGCGGGGAGCGGGGCCGGGCGCTCGGGGCCGCCGTTCGCCGAAGCGGGAGCGGAACCGGAGCGGAGCCGGGAGGAGCGGGGCCGGGCGGCTGCGCGCGGCGCTCGGCCCCGGGATGTCCTCGTCGGCCGGCGAGCAGTGCCGCTCGCCCGTGGGGTTGGATTGCTGCAACTGCTGCCTGGACCTGGTGGGGGCCGGGGGGGGAGAGAACAACAACCCGGGCAGCCCCACCGCCAGCGGCTTCCGGCAGCTGCGGGAGCAGCTGGAGGGCGAGAACCTGAACGCCGCCAAGCTGAGCTCCATCATGCGCCAGGACTCGCTGGAGCCCGTCGTGCGGGACCCCTGCTACCTCCTCAACCAGGGCATCTGCAACAGGAACATCGACCAGACGCTGCTCTCCATCCTGCTGCTCTTCCACAGGTGGGTGCCCGCTGCTGCGGGGCCGCGCTCCGCTGCCGGCTGCGTGCCGCGCTCCCCGGACCCCGCGCTCGTCCCCGCCGTGCCCGGAGGGTCGGGGACACGGACGGCTGTCACTTGGGGTGGTGCCACCTGCAGCCCCCTACGGGTCGGTGGGACGTGGGGAGCCCCTCTCTGGAGCCGTTCCCCATCCCCCGCGCAGCCCCCATCGGGCGCTCCCGTCGGTGTCCCCAAAATAGCGCTGCATGAGGGCACATGGCCCCGCACGTGGCACCTGCGTGACCTCTCCCCACGGCTCCCGCAGCCCTTGCATAACGCGGGGCAGACGCTCAGGTAGGAGAGGAGGAGCCGGGCTGCCCGCCAGAGCACCCTCTGCACGCCCCGTGGGGGGAAATGGGGGAGAGACGGCGAGGGTTCCCTGCGTGTGATGCGGGCAGGGAGGGAGGGAGGGGACACGGGGGAGGGAGGTGACAGTGTCCCCCCATGCGTGCTGGAGACCGAAGCTGTGCACCCACGAAAGCGGTGCCCATGGTTACGATGTGTCCACTTTGGGTTCGGTGCCCCACGCCGCCCCAATCTGCCCCCTCCTCCTGCGTCCCTCCCCACAATGCCCACACCTGCAGCCGCTGTTGTTTTGCTCCAACCTGAACTTTCTCCTCCTGGGGAAATGCGTCAGGTGAGGCGGGAGGCGATAGTGGATGGGGTGAGGGCTGTGGTGCCAGGGAACACCCCGATAACGCAGCCCATGGGGGTATGGCACTGCAGCCCGTGGGGGTATGGCACTGCTGGCTCTGCACTTGGTGGCCACGGTGGCCCACGGACACCTGCAGGAGGAGGCGGTGTGGATGATGGGTCCGTGTTCAGTGGGGACAGGCTCACAATGGGGGGCTCACAAAGTCCACCCTGGGCACCTCCAGCCTGGTTTGGGGGCTTTCCCCCCCAGCTCTCTGCAGGGATGCAGGATGGATGCTCCGTGCTCTTGCCATAGGAACTCCCAAGGCTAAAACCAATCCCAACTCCTAACCCTAAACTCAACCCCCTAACAATGCTAACCCCTCACCTTAGCACTAAACCCCACCCTGAGACCAACTCCAGCCCTAACCCCAACCGTAAGACTAACCCCAAACCTACCCTAACCTTCCTCCTAACCCTAACCTCGACCCCAATGCTAATCCCAACCCCTCTCAGAGGGCAGGAGGTGGCATCTATGGCACAGTGCTGCTCATCCCAGTCCCTGCCGTGCAGAACCCAGAGGGGTGGCCCTGCAGAACGCATTCCTGCAGCGCGTGGGCTGCAGTGACAAGAGGCCTTTGAGCAGGGACAGCGGGTGGGCGTGGGGCTGCGAGCCGGGGCTGAACTGCGTGGGTGCCCCCCAAAAAAGGGGTCACCGGGCTCTGAGCATCACGGCCCCACTGGTTGTGGGGCAGGGGAGCAGGAGGGTTGCGCTCGCCCCGTGGCCGTGCCCCGCCGATGAGCAGCAAGCTATATTTATCTGTGCTGCTGGCATGGGGACAGGAGTTTGTCACCCTCTGACTGAGGTTGTATTTAGACCTGGGGGGGGGCAGGCAGGGGCCCCCCAGCACCGGTTTTGGGGTGTGATGCAGAATCCTGAAAGAGGTCCCGTGGAATCATGGAGGCACATGGGGTGGAGAAGACCCCAGAGGTCGTCGACTCTCAATACCAACCAGGCAGCTCCTGTGGGGCTGGCAGCCCAACCTCAGTCCTATGGGGCAGCAGTTCAGGGCAGGGTGAGGAGTAGGGTGAGGGAAAGGGAGAGGGATGGGGCTGGGGTTTGATGTTAGGAATGGGTGTAAGGGTTCAGGTGAGGGTTGGGATTAAGGTTAGGTTTATGGTGAGGGTTGGAATTAGGTGTACAATTACAGTTGGGATCGGGATGAGGGTTGGAGTTAGGGCTGTGGTTCAGGGCTGGGGTTAGGATGAGAATTGGGGTTAAGGTCAGGTCTATGGCTGGGGTTAGGGTCAGTTTGGGGATTGGTCTTAGGGTTGGAGTTAGGGCTGGTTTAAGGCTCGGGTTAGGAGTTGGTATTAGGGTTGGGGTTAGTTTTAGGGTTGGCTTTAGGGTTGGGATTGGGCTGAGAATTAGAGTTTGGATGGAGGTGTAGCACGGGGTTTCAGGCACCTTCTGAGGCCGTCCCCAGGCGGTGGCACAGCGGTGCCCGGACCCATGGGGCACAGCAGCAGGGTGACAGCTGCACGCCCCACACAGCCCCATACCCTCAGTGTTGTTATTGTTCTGAAATGTCACCGGGGGGCCCCCCCCGCCGCCGCGGCGGGGCGGCTGCAGCTCCGCGTCCCATTCCAAATGCCCGGCGTGCTTCCCAAAGGCCAGGTGGGGTATTAATAACCAGCCCCAAATCACCTGACCCAGCCTGACCTCGGGGCTCAGCCCCTGACCTCGGTGTTGTGCTGTCCGTGCTTCATCCGTCCATCTGTCCGCTTTTGGGTCCTGTTAGAGATGCCAAGCCTGGATTGGGAAGGATGCTGCGTTTCCTGGGTTGTGGGGTGTCGCTGCATAGGGTGCCCACGCGCTGCTTCCCAACCCGTATCCTAACGAACTGCTCTCCAATTAGCGAGCCGGCCGCTCCCGCACGCCTCCCATCCACGTGCTCTCCATCCCTGCATCCCCAAACTGATGCTAGCAGGGCGCAGCGGGGCGGGGTGTGGGACGGGGTCCCGGTGACAAAGTTGGAAAGAAAAAGGAAAATCGCGGCTGTCAGCGGGGCTGCGCGCTCACACGCCAGCGAGCCGGGAACTGGGAGTACGGCCAAGTCCCTTTATCAGAGGAAGCAGGCCGCCCTACAGCTGGAGCGGGGAGCCTGCCAGCCCCCCCCTGCACCCAGCACGGCCTCCCCAAGGCGAGGGGGGCACCCCCGGGTGTGGCTCTGGGGTGTTGGGGTTCCCCCCAGCGCAAAGCGCTGAGGCCCCGTTGCTGTGGGGCGCCCGGGTTTGGGGTTTGGAGGAGCTGCCGGCGGAGCGTGCACGCCCACAGGGGTTGTGCTGTGTGCCACGTGATGGGCGGAGGGCTGTGTGAGCCCCAAAGTCCTGGGGACGGGGACATGGTGTGGGGCTGGGGGGTTGGGCCAGGGGGCTCCTCTGTGCGTGCGTGCAAGCTTTGCTGTGCGCCTGGAGCTGGAGGTCTGCTTGGCACGGCTCCTGCAGCACTCGGCGGCCTCCCCAAGGCCGGCAGCGAGCGTTTCCCACGGCTCCGACCCTCTGCAGGGCCTTCCTCCCATTGAGCCGAGGCCTTGGGAGAGAGCAGGAGGGCCAGAGGGGGCACGGAGCAGCCCAAGGGCTCCGGGACTGCTGCGTGTGGCACTCGCCGTGCAACGTGCCTGCAAGATGCATCCGTGGGCACACGTGTGCTTGCAGGGCGTGCACACACAAGCGTGTGTGTGCAGGTGTGTGCATGCAGAGTGCCAAGGTGTGTGGGAATGCACACGTGTGCACGCCGTGGGGGTGTGTGCGGGGCGTGCATGGGTTGCAAGCTGCAGCCCGGCGTGTGTGCGCGCCCCACAGCAATGCAAGCAGGTGCAGGGCTTTGCGTGGAGCTGCCCTGAGATTCCCCATGCGCTGCAGTGTGGGAGGCACAAAGCTGTGTGCACATTTCCTTCGGTGCTCTGTACACCGGGCTGGATGGGCTCCTGCTGCTGGGGACCCCGGCACGGTGCCGCTGAGCGCATCCTGCCCGCCTGGTGGCATCTCAGGGCTGTCACCCTGCACACACAGAGCGCCTTTCACCCGCCCGCTGCCCCGGCTGACACTCCGGGCTCTGAAAGGGACAATTGAGCGTGGCTGAGGTCACCCCCCGGCGTCCCTACCCCGTGCCCACGTCCCCTCCCTGCGGCCCCGGGATGCGGCCAGTGCCCTGGCTGTGCCCTTGGAGAGCTGCGGGGTGCAGAGGGGACACAGAGGGGACACAGAGGGGCATGGCCGCACCCCCGCCGTACTCCCCGAGCCTCTTCAGGAGGAGGGACTGGTGAGTGGGGCTCTGGGGGTCCAGGGGTTCCGTGGTGGTCAGGATGGGGCCGGCACAGGGCAACGTGCCACCTCTCGACCGGGAGAAAGGGATCCCCGTGTGTGCGGGTGAGTGGGCAAACTGCTCGCCCATCCCACCCCCAGAAGACCCAGGTGGGGTTTGGCTGCGCCCCTCCTTGCTCAGAGGGCATGGCCATGGCACCAACCCCAAATATCAGTAGGGTTTTTTTTGGAGGGGTATTTCACAGAGCACCCAGCAACGGGACAAAGTCCTGCTGGGTCCAGAGGGCAGCGATAAGCTCCGGGTGGGGACAGGGAGCAAGGCAGGGGGGCAATGCTAGCCCAGCAGGGTAGGCAAGGGGGGGATCATCGCCACCCACAGCTTTAGGGTAGCAACAACCCCCCTCCCCCCACGGCTTTAGGGTGCCCTACATGCAACACGCACACGGTGCTGCTCGACGCTTCCACCCTCTGCGCCCCTCAGGACCCCATGGAGAGCCGGGGGGGGGGGGGGGGGGAGTCCGGCAGCCCTGCAGCCCCGAGCCCGACCACGGGAGGGGGCTGCCCTCCCCCCCTCCCCAGCAGCACCGCGGGGTTACGCAAGGGCGGAAGGGGGGGGGGAGGAGGCGGGGCGGCCGCGGGTTGTTTTGCGCCCGGGGGTTGTTTTGCTCTCGGGTTGTTGTTCGCTCCCGTTTCTGTTGTGCTTTTTTTTTCTTTTTTTTTTTTTCCCCTCTCGTTGTTTTGTTCCGAGCCGATCTCGGTTCCTCGCCCGAGGACGCGTTGTTTTTGCGCTCTCTGGGTTTCGTTTCGCCCTCCGTTTCGCTTTGCTCCCCGCTTTTTCACTTTGCGCACCTTTCGTTTGTTTCGTTTCGTGCGCCCTTTCCCCCTCGGCACCCCCCTTCTTATTTTGCGCATCTCTTTTTGCACGCTCTTCCAATCGGTGCCCCCTTCCTGCACTTTCCTTGGGTTCGCACACCCCTTTCCCTCCGCACACCCTTTCTCCCTACCCCACACTGAGCCCCACACCCCACAGCCACCCCAAACTCGGGCCTCACCCTTCTCACCCCACCCCAAACCCTTCAGCACCCCACGTTCGGGGGCGCAGCACGGATCAGGGGAGGAGCGCTGGGCGCACGGAGGAGCCCGTGCAATTAGCGGGCAATTAGCGGGCAGCGCTCAGCATTACCGAGAGCGGCGCTGCGGCGCTGGGGGCGGCCCCCACCCCCCTCCCGTGTCCCCGCCCGCCGCCCATATAAGCCAGGGCGTGAGCCGGGCCCCGCAGTGCGCTCCGGACCCGCAGCTGCCCGCAACGATCCGCGCAGCCATGAGCACCGGCGTGTACCACTCCCCCATGGAGGTGGCTGTCTATCAGCTGCACAACTTCTCCATCTCCTTCTTCTCCTCTTTGCTCGGGGGGGACGTGGTCTCCGTGAAGCTGGACAACAGGTAGGGGCAGCCCCAGGGCTCCCATCCCGGTATTTATTGCTCCTCTGAAACGGGGCAGCGTGGAGCATTGACCCCGTGAAGTGGGGAGCGCAGTGCGTTGCTCCCTATGGGAACGGCGCTTTCTGTGTGCCATCCCATTAAGAGATGAGCTTCATTCGTTGCCCCCCATGCAGGGGGGGCTCTCTGCTTGCTGCGCCGTTGATGGAGGGGTTGGGGGACGCGCCCCACTGCACGGACCTCGGGGATTTGCTGCTAACCTGCACCTTCCCTGCTTTATTCTAGTGCCTCCGGAGCCAGCGTGGTGGCCATTGACAACAAGATCGAGCAGGCAATGGTGAGCTGCAGCCTTCTGTCATCTTTAGGGGTTTGTGGGGGGGGAGGCCCTGCTCCCGGGTGGTGCCATGCCCAGCATAGGGGTCCCCCTGCTCCCCAGCCTGTTGCTGGGCAGAGCGGCTCCTTTGTCTGCCTGCAGCTGGCAGTGCTCATTGGCTCCGTCTGCGCCGCAGTGCGCAGAGAAACAGGGGGGGATGAAGGGGGAATGGGGGGGGGGTGGGACCCTTCGGGGGTCTTGGGGATTGAGCGAGGCCCTGTGGGTGATGAGGAATTGCAGGCTGCCTCTGCACCCTGAGGAGGGAGGTGATGGATCAGTGAGGGTGATGGACGGGGGTGCCTTGGGGGGGGGGGGCAGCAGGGTGCAGGGAGATGGGGCAGCTCCATGAAACATCCCACCAATGGACCCCATCCTTCCCCCTCCCCCCCCCCCGACACAGGACCTGGTGAAAAACCACCTGATGTACGCGGTGCGGGAGGAGGTGGAGGTGCTGAAGGAGCAGATTAAGGAACTGCTGGAGAAGAACTCGCAGCTGGAGCGTGAGAACAGCCTCCTGAAGACCCTGGCCAGCCCCGAGCAGCTGGAGAAGTTCCAGTCACGGCTCCCATCCGAGGTGTTGCAGCCCCAGGAGCAGAGCCCGGAGCCTGCCCCCCCGGCCCAGCACTCGGGGGGCTCTGCGGTGTAAAGTGGCTCTGTCCTTGGGGTGGGCAGAGCCACGGAACTCTTTCTACTTCATCTCCTGCAACGATACCAAAATAAGCCAAGTTTTTCTGCCTTGGCTCAGAGGACTGCCGGAACCCGGTGCTGGGATGCTCGTCCCTCCGGGAGATGCCGGTGGCTGACCCCCATCTGTCTGCCCTCCCTGCGCTGTGTGGGGCAGAGCTCGCCGAGACCCCGTAGTGCTGACCATGGGGATGCGGCTGGAAGGAGCGCGCCGAGCCCCAGCGTTGTGGGGGGTGGGGGGAGCAACCCAAACCTGGACTTGAGCAGCTGTTTCGGTTGCACGCACGTCGGCGTGGGGATTACAAGGAAAGAAAGAGAAGAACGACAACCAAAAAGAAAACCAAACCAACCAAACCTTGTTTGACTAGAGTTGAGGTGTTTCTGTAGCTGTGTCTATGCGGTGTCTGCGGGATGCTGCGGGCCGGCTGTGCCCTTCTGGGCAGGATTTGAAAGGAGACTGGAATGGCACCAGGGTGGAACTGGGGGAACTGGGTGGCCAGAGGCCCCAAAACGGCCCCGAAATGGGGGATGGCAGCAATGGGTGCTGCGTTCCCCCCTCCTCCTCCCCCCCCGAGCGACGGGACGTCCCTGCAGACGTCGGACGGTTGGAGCGGTGACGTGGTTGTGTACATTTTTAGGTAGAAATTGCAATAAAGTCTACTTTTTTATAGAAGCACCTGCGCCCGTGCTGTGTGTCTGCAGATGGGGAGGGGGCCGTCGGGGGGATGGGGCGATATGGGCTGAGACTGGGGGTGGGATGGGGCTGCTGTTCCCCAGGTGCTGCCAAGCCTTGGGGTTTTGTGGTGCTGCTCCTTTGGGTCAGACCCCTGGATGGGCTCCTGTGGGATTTTGGAGATGAGAGCAGCACTCTGCATCCTATGGAGGGGAAGGTGAGCGGAGCCTGCAGGTCTCAGTGTCCCCATGTGTGCAGGGATGTGCTGGAAGGTCATGCAGGGGGCTGCTCTCCTCCACTGTTGATGCCATGGCATCTTGTAGCACTGAGCGCAAGATTGGACCATCCTGAAATACAACGTGAGAGACAGAGCTGTGATGGATGTGGACATCCTGGGGCTGTGGTTGCCCTGCAGGCGGCAGGGATGGGGTTTGAGATGGATGCAGCATAGCGGGATGGGTGCAGCACCCTCCTTTGGGGGTGTGCCGTGGGGTTTGTGCCATGCTGACCGCATCCTGCCGCCTTTTGCCGTGGCTTCAGGCCTCACTGCGGTGAGGGCGGTGCAAAACCAATCTGCCATGAGTCACAGCGGGGCTGGGAACGGTTGGTGCCAAGGAAACGCTGGTAAACACCAAAACACAGAGCCACGGAGCACGGAACGCTGATGAGGTGTCCGTCCTCTCCCTGCTCCCCACCTCATCCCAGGGCTGGGACCCCACTCTGGGCAGTGCCGCAGCCCTGCAGGTGCACACGCGTGTGCAAGCTTTCCCCCTGCTGTGTGCATGTCTATGTGGGGCCGTCCCTGTATACAGGAGTGAATTTGGGACGTGTGGGTGGGATGCGGGGATGGGGCACGGTGCTCAGTGTCATCACAACCCACCCTCTGCCCCCCACCCTCTTGCAAGGGGCGGCTGGGTGAGTGGGCAGTGCCTGACCCCCCCACCCCGCTCAGCCCACGCACCCCAAAACCACTTTCCCAGCTACGCCTCCCTCCCATCCCTTTCCCCCCCTCCCCATCATGGGCAGAGCACTGGCAGCATGGTGTGACACTGGGACAGCCAATGGCACGGGCAGAGCAGCCACAAACCCCTCCCTGTGGCTGGCAGGGCCCCCCCCCCCCATCACCCGCTCCTCCAAGATCGATGTCCCCTCGCCTTGCAGTGTGGGCTGTGACGAAGGACTCTCCCTTCCTAGGGACACTCACGCATGTCACCCCCCTCCCCATGCTGGGGATCGATGGGATTGCTGCAGCCCGGGCAGCAAAGGGTGAAGGTGTTGCGTCAGGAAGTCTCTAAGAAACGGTCGATTTGTTGAAAATGTAAAAATAACAGAAGCTGCTGCTGGGCTGAGCGGGGCTTTCCCAGCGTGGGGGGATGCTGGCACGGCCCATGGCAACTGTGCCCCAACCACAAGGCACGGCGCGGGCAGCCCCACATCTGGGGTGTGGGGTGGGGGAAGGGATGGGAATGGGAATGGGATGGAAGGGGTTTTGGGGAGGGAATGAGGACAGGGAGGGGATGTGGCTGGGGATTGGGATTGGGGGTGAGGGTGGAGAAGGTGATGGGATGGAGATGAGGGTGGTGGGTTTGGCAGGTGGTTGCAACAGGGATGGGAAAGGGGATAGCATGGGATGGGATGGTGTTGGCATGGGACAGTGATGAAGAGGGGATGGGCTAGAATGGGAATGGGATAGAGATGGGGATGAAATCCCCTGGCAAGCCCTGAGTGCTCACAGTGAGCCTCCAAGGCAACCCCAGGGACTTCTGGGGGGGCTACAAGCCACCTCAATGGCTGCTCCGTGCAAAATCCTCTTCCATGGTTTAAACCAGCAAGGGCAGAGGGAGGGCTGGCATTACAGACAAGGAGGGAAGGATGCTGAGCAAGGGCACGGCTTACAGCAGAAAGAGGAGAAAAGTGCAGGGAGACGTGATTGCCCGAACGCTGCTCGAGTTAATGGGCTCTATTTGGGGAGATAAGGGGCCGTGAGCTGTAAACCTGCCCAGGAAAGCCGACTTCCTCATTCCTGAGCAGAAAGGGAGATGCACAGAAAGGCAAACAACACCGGAGCAAATTGCTCGATGACAAACAGGGACCTGAGGTCCAGACGGGTGACCCAGGGGACACACAGGGCTCCGGTGGGGGCTCTGTGCAGACGCTTCCACCCCGGGGACCGTGGCGTAATGAATGAGCGATGCGAGTGCCAGGGATTAGCCAGGATTTAGGGGCCTGTGGGACCCGGCCAATTTGGTTTAATTGATCATTAGAAGCAGCGTTAATCCCTGGGAAAATCAGTGTGGGAAAGGCAGGCGCCTGGGAGGACTTGGCCGAGGTGTGCAGGAGCGCAGGAGGCAGCTCCTCTCCTTCACCATGCTCCAGCCAGAGCCGCCCCAAAAGGCACCCGACCCCCAAACCCCACTGCAGTGCAGTGCGTGCTGCTGGGCTGGGTTACTCATTCTCCAGGAGGAGACCTTTGGACTGCACACACAAAGTGTGCAGAGAACCAGGGCTGGCATCCTGTCTTCTGACACCACGGGTGCTCGTTTTGCAGCAGCGCATCGGTGGGATGCAAGCAGCGTGGGTTGCATCCTGGGAAGCTCCCACCATTAGGAGATCCTAACAACTTCCCAGCAGCACAGGTACCGCTTGAGTGCTCCTCATGAGCGTCCCCACAGCATCTCAGTGTCCCCACAGCACCTCCATCCCCATGCTGACCCCACACCAGCACACAGGGCCCGCCGGCGCGCCGGCTGCCGGCTTCCTCCCAATTAACCCAATTAATCTCGCAGGGCTCCAGCCATGCAGCAGCTCTGCAGCCGCCGCCGCCGCCTGGCTCTCCCTGCCCTCCCGTCCACCTGTGTTGTGTAACACGGGGATGAGAACAAGGCAGAGCCGTGCTGTGCCTGTGAAGCTGCCGCCCAGTGCCATCCCGCTGTGCCCAGCAGCTGTAGCAGCCTCTGGAGTGGCACATCAAAGTCCTCCCGGCTCAGCTACCCCAACCGGCAGCAGGGATTTGGCTGGGAGACCTGCAGGGATGGGGCTCGGCATCCTCCTGCTCTGAGCATCCCTGCTGCGGGTTGGCCATGTGGCATGGGCTGGTGACAGAGCGTGGCATGGCGTGGGGAAGCGAGGGATGCGGTGCCTGCAGTCTGTGCACGAAGGATGGATGCAGAGCACAGACCCATGCGGATGGGATGATGCTCTGAGCTTCCCATGCATTGAGAACCCGTGAGCTCCAGCTCAGCATCCCTGTGCCGAAGGGTCAGAGATGCTAAAGGCCAGTGTGGGGAGCAGAGTGAGCAGAGCTTTGGGGAAGTCGCTGACAGTTGTCTCTATGCTGGTTGTCAAGGGACAGAAACCAGGGTGTAGAAAGAGCCTGAGTGACAAAACATGAAGCCACCAGCTTGGGAAGATGGGGTAATTATTGTGATTGTTGTGATGACAATCACTGTTGTTACCATCACAACAACAGCTACTGCTTGCTGGAACTGCACCAGGGCTGGCATCAGTGCGACCAGCACAGCGGTGGCACTCGGTGTCCCTGCAGGTGGGGGCTGTCCTCCAGGAGCTGCCCCCAGCCCTCAGCACCCCTCCAGCACCCCCTGCATGCTGTGTCCCCACCCTGCATTGCTGCTTCCCACCCCAACCCATTCCCAAGCCACTCCAAAACCAGAACGTTTTCTTTCTTCCCATTTCCACTTTTATTCATTTCTTTACTGGTGATGATTTATAACCAAAGCCAACAGCCTGACTGACCCAAACGCTGAGCCTCTGGCTTGGGATGCCCCACAGCCCCAGCAAGCACAGAAGCAGCCCTGCATCAATGCAACCAACACCACTTGTTTGCTCCCCTCACTCCACTCTGTGCCTCTCCAGGTGTTTGCAATGCAGATGACGTTTGCCACGTGCAATGTGCCAAGTCCTGCAGGGGGAATAACGGAGTCTGCAGCTCTCCATGCCCTTCCAGGAAGGACTGCGGATGCTCCGGGCCGCGCTGCTCACCCTGCTACCATGTTTGGGTGTTTTTGTGGCCAGCTGCTGACTCAGAGCCGTTCGCAGGCAGTGTTTACAAGGCCGTGACGGAGGCAGTGCTGTGGCTGTGCCCATCCTGGCCGCAGGGCTCGTGCCATTGACATTGAGGGACTGCCGTTCGCAGCTCCAAAGTGGGTCATCCGGTGGCTGCCTGCAGGCAGGATCTGCCCAGCGACTTGTTGTTCCCATCCCCATTCCCAATGGCACGCAGTCCCTGTGCCCGTGGCCACGTTCCCGTCACGCTGCAGGCATCCCGCGTGCCTCCACAAGCTCGTGCCACAGGGGCTTCTTGACAACTTCTCGACAAGCACCAGTCAGCAGGAAAAGCATCCCAAGCCTGCGGGGAACCCAGGGCAGTGGGATCCACCTGGGGCCCTGCGCATGGCACGTTTTGGGTGGGAAGATCCCCAAAGCGGGCTGCTCCTCCTCATCGTCCCCTTCCCGAGCAATGGGAAGCAACCCTCCCTCCATCCTGCCCACACCCGGTGTTCCCCTTCCCACACCCATATGCTTCATAGCCCAAAATAGCTGGAAAAGGCCAAAAATAACCGTCACCGTGCCCTGAGGATTGCGTGTAAGCATAGGGAAGGACTGTCCCCAAACACCAGCCCTCAAATCCATGCCCTGTGGGTGCAGTCAGAGCACGGCTGCCTCCTCCTGCTGACACACAGCCGCACGCAGCCTGCCTGCAATGTTTGGGGCTGTTTGCTGCCCGCTGCCCGGCTACCAGCTGCTGAATCACCATGCATCCTCCCCACGAGCAGGAAACCCGCTGTCAGCTCTGCCACGGGCGCCCCACAGCTCACAGCTCTTTCTGGGAACGGGGAGATGGCGACATCTCAGCCTCCCCAGTCCCAATCCCAAGCCCACCAACACCAGCCCTCCACCCCTAGGAGGAAGGAGCCATGCTGTTCTCCCTCCGCTGCCGCTATGGGGCAGCCCCACAGCCCCGCTCTGCCCCCCAGCCTGCA